CAAAAACAAAAACTAGTAACAGAAAACAATCAAACCACAACTTAAGAAGAACCAATATAAAGTAGAAGAGCTCTTTTGGGTTTAGGGAATGCAAAACTAGAGGAAGGTCACAGCTATGTACCTATCTTAGTAGTACTTTAGTTGTTAAAATCGAGGCATTCAAGGGTAGAGGGCTCAATTTAATCTAATCAAATAGTAAGGGAACATTTTTGGGAATTTCTACAAAGCCTAAAAGGCACAGAATGAAACATATAGCTCTTGGTATGTCACACTGGCATGCCAAGTGTGACAAGGAAGCTGCCAACAAAACTCTGCAACAATACTGGGTAAAAGGGCGCATGGTTCTTGGTTGTCTACAGACCCAGAAGAATGTCCAATTCACTGTTATAGTTATCTTTACTATGAACCTAATTAAACTCAAGAATATACCCACCACATAGGTAGACTTGACTAATAATACTGATGGGGAATATTGTTTTGAAGTCATGATCCTCCTGCCTCTGCCTCCCTAGTGTTGGGATTAGAGGCATACATCACTACGCCCAGCTTGATGGAAGATATTTTATAGCTATGTAGTTTACAAGAGTCATGGTCCTGGGAAGTGAGCATTCCAGTAGGTGGCTCCCTTGCTTCTATGTACTTAAACAGTGGGGTATTTTGGACAACTTCTTCTAACCTTTGAAGATGGATGCAAGTGTGTGTGTATTAAAGGGAAAAAGAGACCTAGTACAGGTTAAGCATCTCTAATGTCCAAATCCAAAATCCCAAATGCACTAAGATCTGAAACTTTTTGAGTGCTGACATGATGCCACAAGAGGAAAATTTTATACACCTGTCCTCATGTGACAGGTGGTAGTCAAAACACAGGAACCACAAAAATATTGCGGCTATTATCTACCTACCTACCCTCCTGTAATCTATCTCTATCTTTTTATCTACATGTCACTACATGTATACATGAATGATTAAATACCATCTACCTAATCTAACATCTGTCTAATCTAACATACATCTGTCTACCTAACTACTAATTTTTAACTTTTACCATATTCACTTTGTAATAGTTTATTTCATAATGTTTTACTCATGTTTTCAAATACCTGTGAACTTCCAAATACCACATACTTTCAGGCTATGTGTATGAGTTATATACAAAACAAATGAACTTGTATTTAGACTGAGTCCTGTCCCAAGATATCTCATTACGTATATGCAAATATTCCAAAATCTGCAAAAAGCCCAAATTTAAAACACTTTTGGCTCCAAGCATTTTGGATTTTTTAAAAGTTTGTATTGCTAGGTAAGCACTCTATCAGTGAGCTACATCCCCAGCCAGTTCTCAGAATTAATATGCATCTCTTATAAATAGTATGTAGGTGAATTTTTATTTTTTAAGACAGTCTATTGACTACATACAGAGATTATGGTGTTTAGGTCAGCTATTTTTTTCCTTTAATTTACTGAGACACATTCATACAGTGATCTAATGCAGTTAAAAATGCGTAAGTCAATGAATTTTGAAAGTATATATGTCTGCATATCCTAATATTTAGAACAACCAAAACACAAGACATTCCTAGACCTCCAAAACATGCCCTCACTCCCTTTATTAAACCCACATTGTCCATAACCTCAGGCAACCTCTAATCTGTTTTCTGGTAGTATAAATTATATTATACTTTCATATCACATGTACTCATTTGTTTTTCTGTTTTGGGTCCACTTAACATTTTGAGTCATCTACTTTTACTGCCAATGCCAATATATTGATATTTCTAAAGATAAGTCCAGTTCTAGTTGCATGCATGTACTTTGTTTTTAATCTGTTCATATTTTGTAGGATGTCTGAGTTCTTTCCATTCTAAACTGATTTGGATATGCTAGAGCAATATTTGTGTGCAATGATGTTTTCATTTATCTTGAGTATATACCAGGGAGAAGGATTGTTGGGTTGAAATACAATTCTATGTTTAAATTTATGTATATGATTAGCCTGTCCAAACTAGCAAGAATTGATATCTTAGTTGATAATCTCTGTACTGGATTATCCCAACAAGATAATATAGATCACTCAGTCATCTTTTTATGTAGAATTTTTTTAATTTTTAATTTTTCTGGTGGGACTGGAGTTTGAACTCAGGGCTGTGCACTTGCAAAGCAGGTACTCTGTTGCTTGAGCCACACCTCCAGTCCATTTTGCTCTGGTTATTTTGGAGATGGGGGGTCTCAGCCTGAGCTGACCTCGAACCTCAATCTTCCTGATCTCAGCCTCCCAAGTAGCAAGGATTTCAAGCTTAAGTCACCGGAACCTGGCTATACAGAAATATTTTTAAAGTTTCATTTTACATTTTTTCATTTATCTACCTGGATATCTATCTATTTATGTATCTGTTAGTTTATATTTCAAACTCTACCATATAGTCTATGGCAGGTAACTAGCTACCATAAGTCATCCAGCTATTATATACCTATCTACCCTCCTGTAATCTATCTCTATCTTTTTATCTACATGTCATTGCATGTATATATGAATGATTACATACCATCTACCTATGACAATATCAACTGTCTAATCCAACATACATCTACTTAATTATCTTATTTTTAACTTTTACCCTATTCACTTTGAAATACTTTATTTCATATTTTACTCTTATGTTTTCAAATACCTGTGAACTTCCAAATACCAATTAATGCCTGAATAAATTATGTCTGAAGATTTAAAGCTGTCAATTCTCATCACTTTTCCTTTCAGAATGCTGAATAAGAAGTTTCCCTTTTGTAATTGTTAAGACCCTGAACATTTTTCTCTAAAGTTTTCTCCTTTTAAGCTGAAGAGTTCAGATATTTTAAATTTAGTGTTCTAAACTCTATTGCTCCTCTTGATCACATTTGTTCCTGTAGACCATTGTATCCTGTGTTGCCTGTCATAATGCCTGAGACAGAGAATGTACACAGTAAACCTTTGGATCCCAATATTGAATTTTGTTTGTTGAGCTGTACTGGGATTTGAACTCGGGGCCTTGTGCTTGTTGGCAAGCGTTCTACCACTTGAGCCATGCCCCCAATGCCTTTTGCTTTTAGTTTACTTTTTAGATAGGGTCTTGTGCTTTTGTCCAGGACAGTCACTGACTGAGACAAGAGGTGGAGACCTCTTGTCTAGCTGGGATTTCAGGCATGTTTGACCATGCCTGGATTATTTTGTAAGATAGGGTCTGGCTAAATTTTTTTGCCAGCACTGACCTCAAACCATAATCCTCTCATCTCCATCTCCCTTGTGGCTAGAATTATAGATGTACACTACTACACCTGGCCCCTAATTCTTTTTTTTTATAAAAGACAAGTAAAAATGCTATTGGTTTTTATGACTCTACCCACACATTGTACAGATGTTTTTAGGGATTTCTCTCCAGTGACTCTCAGATCCCTTAGCTGTGCTGAACAGATGACTCAGAAACTATTAGTTTATGGACAGGGTTTGGCTTATGTTCCCTTAAATTCTTTTCATCGTTTTCAAACTGTTCTCACACAAACCCTCACATATTTGCATGAAGGACAGTGATGAGATTATTGTCTTTAGATTAGAGGTTAGGAAACCAAAGTTCACTAAGGTTAAATGGCAATACACTAGACTACAAGGTAGTTTGTACCAGAGCTCAGACTGAGCAGAATACTTTCTACTTCACTTGCTATTTGTGTAATTCTGTGCAAATCACTTAACATTTCTGCATTTCAGTTTTATTACATGTAAAACATGTATTCTATGCATACTCATTTCCCTTATTGAGTTGTAAATAACAAGCCAAAATAACATTATTTACATTTTTCAAACTTTTAAATGTTTCTTATCATTATTATCTCCAACATACAGATGAAGAAACTGAGGCTAAGAAAGGCTGTATAAGTTGCTCAATCCATAGCGACAGACAAACATGCTGGAGCTGAGATTTGAGCTTATGTTTGACTCTAAGTCCGATATTCTCTGCTATACCATGTCTATTATGAGGCTTATTTAGTGAGATGACTAGTGTGAAAGGGCTTTATGAATGTAAATGTTGGGCACTGGGGGCGTAGCACAGTGGTACATCCACAAGGCTCTGGGCTCAGTCTCCAGCATTACAAAAAATTTAAATGTCTTACAAATGCTTTTTGAATGTTAAGAAACATGACAACCTGCATTGATATATACACATATATAAAACAAACCTATTACCAGATTGGTAAAAATGACACAGAAATGAAGTTGAAAATGTTGCATCATGTGTAGATAAAAAAATACCAAGGTTAGTGAAGGAAGCTTCCCTTTTTTCCTATGCAACAGAAGAACTTGATGCATATGTAACACCATTTACAAAGGTAGATCAATGAAAAAAAACCTTCCACCTTGGCTTTTAATCTCCAATTCAGAAGAGTAACCTAATCATACCACAAATACTCTGGTGTTATGCTGAAAATGTTACTTAAGCACAATCAGAGAGGTGTGTGTCAACCTTAATCTGAAACCAGCATCCTCTCTTACATTTAAATATGCTAGTTATGAAGATGACTGGGAAGATTTGATATAAAAAAAAAAAAGCTCACGAATTTCTTTGCTCTTATGTATCACCAGGCAGCTTCTAGCCTCAACTTTCAAGATGCTCTGATAAATGTAAGACAGTTCTAATATTACTAACACTAGAAGCACAGGTCAGTAATTATTGTTATACTTAAGACTAGCTAGCTTAGAGAAGTAAACTTATAATTATCCCACCTACATTTTCCCTACTAAGACTTCCATCCCTCAGAATGCATTCAAGACAACACATGCACATTTATTACCCTTTTGACAGCAGGTGGTCTGGACACTGACAGGCTATAGAGCACATCTTAGTGTTTCATTAGGGCCTTGTTGTGACCATGGGAGTTTGGCACTATTTAATTCTGGCTAAACTCCAAATCAATAACTTGTTAAAGAAAGAAACTGTCCCCTTGAGGAGCTACCAGAGTAAAAAGTTACCAACCTCAGCTTGTTTGCACCAAACACTGATGTTTTTACGCTGGGCTTTAGTGAAGTGGTCCCATGCCTTCTGTTTGGAGGCAGAATGGTACACAGCCACTATCTGCTCAACTGCAGCATCAAATCAGTAGTCAGAACAGGCCACAGTATCATCCAGGGATGGTAAAAGAGAGGAGAAAAAGAAAGGAAAGAAAAAGAAGCATTAGACTTCTATGTTCTTGTCATAACACTATACCAGGCTGAGCTTGTACTTGGACAAAGCTACTTGTGTTGAGGCACTATGATTTTTAAAGAGGACTCAAAGGAATATATAGATCAATATATAGAAAGAAGAAAGGGAACTCCAGAAGGTTTGTGGTGAAATGGTGACTAAGGTTTTAATACAGACAGTGTGTATTCAGGCAGGAGAGGCAAGGTTTATTGTAAATGTGTTTTAGATTAGTATTTGTGCTTAGTTTAGTACCACTGACCCCGAATAGCATGGAAGTAAACTAAACCAGCAATATCTACTATTGGTTCTTTTTATTAACTAGCCTTCTGAAATAAGCTGGGCTGCTTTACTTCAGTACAATTTGTCCTTTCACTATTCTGAGGTATGTTTAACCAGAAGTATCAAATCAAAATGTATGATGATTGAGTCTATTGTAAGTCTGCCCAAACAGGTTTATTGACTGGAGAAATGTAAGTTTTATGGAAGAATACTGTATGAGTGCACTCCTAGAGTGTTTTTCAGGGTCTCTTAAAATGTTAAATGGGGAAATGGGTTCAAATATTCTGGAGTTTTATACTAACAATTTCAAGAGAAAGGAATCTTAGATATGACTTTTTTGGGAAAAGAAAAGCAACACAAAAGACCCCATCCAGTTGGGTGTTCAACAGTAGGAAAATCTGGAGGTGCTATATTTTTCTTTGAAGCCCTGTTTGCACTCTGTGTGCTAATGATTTAAGAATTTATATTCTCACAATCCTTGTTACTTCCTTTTTCTACTTATTCTGAAGTCCTGAAGACATGTGCGTTTGCCTCCTGGATGTTAGAACCATATATACTTTCAAAAAACAAGCGGAAAATGGAACTCCTCCTTAATCTCAATTATGTATGAGTCAAGTATGGAAAGTAAAGTATAGGAATAGTGGACCATAATTGTTTAAAAGCAAAACCATAAAACTGCACCCTTGTTCCTAAGGCAAATATAGTTCCTTACTGAAAAGAAATGAGTGTGTAATTTTGTTATGTGGTGAACAAAAAAATTATTTGTGAATTTATCTGGTGTATCTCATTTAAGAGAACTTGGATAGACCTGAAGTGGTACTTCTTTTTGAAAATGGCTATTTCAATAGCTTCTCACCCACACAATGTTATATCCAGCAAAGGTAGTAGAAGAAAGGAACCTAAATACAAAATGTAGAGTAGCAAATATGTTTTATATTCAATCAACTTGGGAAATAATTTACATTTATCACTATAAGTTCCTAAAAAGCATACTACATAATAATAATGATGCAAATCTGAACAAAAAGCTGCTTTAAAATGCTGTTACATCCTAACTTTAGCAATGAAATATTCAACCCTCCACAGAGGCCTGAGGCTATAAAGATGGGATATGATCCATGTATCAGTGTTTCTACGGAGCTGAAGTAGATATATCAGAGAAGATGAAAATTAGGAGGTGCTCACATATATCCTGGCAAACTAGAGCATTGGCATTTGGCAGTATGAGGAGAGCACAAGGCAGTGAGAAGGGCAGCCTTGATTTTTGACATAGGATGGCTCTGTAGGCCTGGGTTTTTGTATAGTGACTAAGTGAAGGGCCCTCTCACCTTTCCAGCAGAACTCTAATGTCTACTCACATTGAATGAGAATTCCAGAAAGGGCCTGCTTGAACTTCTCCTTTGCTTCTTCCATGTCTTTTTCATGGGTGGCTTTCTCGTTCACCAGACGGCGGACATGGCTGTTGGCTGACTGGATCATGGAGTAGAAGTTGTTGGCACTACGACGGTTTACTTCTCCTCGCTCTATCCAGGTAAGTAAGGTCTGCACAGCTTCTGAAAATTTGGAATCATCTGAAAAATAAAAGAGAATTTATTTTTTAGAACTATCAAAGGTAACCAAATCTTGATCTATTTCCCCAACATGCTAGCAAGGAGGTCACCACTGTTTTTTGGCAGTTGTGGTTAAATGAATAGATGAGGTAAGGAAACACATATGCACACATGTGCACACACAGGCAGCAAGCAAACAAAGAATAGAAGACTCAAAAAGTAGTCACATTGGCTATGATTTATGAAGAGTTTCAGAAAGACTTGATTTTTCTTTCCTTAAAAAACCTCTAGGCTGGTTTTTTAGTAGCTTAGTGTAGTAAAGTTAGGATGTAATTCATGAGGCCTTGGGTTCAATCCCCAGCCACACCCCCTAACCCTGAAACAAAAAACTTTTCTATTCTGATAGCATAGTTTTCAGGTATTTCAAAATTTTAAACTTTTAAATTGTGTGTGTGTGTGTGTGTGTGTGTGTGAGAGAGAGAGAGAGAGAGAGAGAGAAAGAGATTTCTCTGTGTGTATGTGAGAAAGGGAGAGACAGAATAAATTATGAATCAGCAGTGATGACTTCAAAATTCTACAGTCTTGTGTTTTAATAAGGAAAAGCAAACATGAATCCTAAATTTGAGTTTGATAGTAACTTTACTCTGGATCCACGGAATTATAGTGTTGGAAGGATCTTAGGAAAGAGTTAAGAGGGTAATTCATTGGTAAAAGCACTTACATTTTTGACCTTTTATAACATCAACCCTGCATCCAATCCATAGCTTCAGGCCTCCCACTCAGTCTGAGCCAAAATTTATTTTGATACAGCTGATTTTATTTCTATATTCACATCCTTTCTTCTCTTGCCTGAGGAACCCTACAAGTAGATTCCTGCAGCTAGCTAGGAGAAGATATGATCCTATACCTTAAAGACCCAAAAAACTCTACCCCAAAACTCTTAGACACCATAAACAGCTACAGTAAGGTGGCACGATACAAAATCAACTTACAAAAATCACTAGCTTTTCTATACACCAACAACGAACAAACTGAGAAGGAATATATGGAAACAATTCCATTCACAATAGCCTCAAAAAAAATCAAATACCTAGGAGTAAATTTAACAAAGGATGTGAATGACTTCTACAAGGAGAATTACAAACTCCTGAAGAAAGAGATTGAGGAAGACTACAGAAGGTGGAAAGATCTCCCGTGCTCATGGATTGGTAGAATCAACATAGTAAAAATGGCGATACTACCAAAAGCAATCTACATGTTTAATGCAATTCCCATCAAAATCCCAATGACTTTCATCACAGAGATTGAAAAATCTACCCTAAAGTCATTTGGAAACACAAGAGACTGCGAATAGCCAAGGCAATACTCAGCAAAAAGAGCAATGCTGGAACTATCACAACACCTGACTTCAAACTATATTACAAAGCAATAGCAATAAAAACAGCATGGTACTGGCAAAAAAACAGACATGAAGACCAGTGGAACAGAACAGAAGATCCAGATATGAATCCACACAACTATACCCGCCTCATTTTTGACAAAGGTGCCAAAAACATATGATGGAGAAAAGACACTTCAACAAATGTTGCTGGAAAAAGTGGTTAACCATCTGCAAGAAACTGAAACTAGATCCATTTCTATCACCATGTACTAGTATCAACTCAAAATGGATCAAGGACCTGAATATCAGACCTGAATCTCTAAAGTTACTATAGGAAGGAGGAGGAAACACTCTGGAACTAATAGGTATAGGCAAGGACTTCCTCAATAGAACCCCAGCAACCCAGCAACTAAGAGAAAGGATGGACAAATGGGACTTCATAAAATTAAAAAGCTTCTGCACAACAAAAGAAATGGTCTCTAAACTGAAGAGAACACCCACAGAGTGGGAGAAAATATTTTCCAGCTATACATCAGACAAGGGACTGATAACCAGAATATATAGTGAATTCAAAAAACTAAACTCTCCCAAAATTAATGAACCAATAAAGAAATGGGCAACTGAACAAAACAGAACTTTCTCAAAAGAAGAAATTCAAATGGCAAAAAAGCGCATGAAAAAATGCTCATCATCTCTAGCCATGAAGGAAATGCAAATCAAAACCACACTAAGATTCCACCTCACCCCTGTTAGAATAGCCATCATCAAAAACACCACCAACATGTGTTGGCGAGGATGTGAGGAAAAAGGAACCCTAATCCACTGCTGGTGGGAATGCAAGCTGGTACAACCACTCTGGAAAAATATTTGGAGGCTTCTTAAAAATCTAAACATAGATCTGCCATATGATCCAGCAATACCCAAAAGAATGCAACACAGGTTACTCCAGAGGCACCAGCAAACCCATGTCTATTGCAGCATTATTCACAATAGCCAAGTTATGGAAACAGCCAAGATTCCCCACTACTGACGAATGGATTAAGAAAATATGGTATTTATACACAATGGAATTTTTTTCTCAGCCATGAAGAAGAATGAAATCTTATCATTTGCAGGTTAATGGATGGAACTGGAGAACATCATTCTGAGCAAGGTCAGCCAGGCTCAGAAGACCAAAAATCGTATGTTCTCCCTCATATGCGGACTTTAGATCTAGGGCAAATACAGCAATGTGGTTGGACTTGGGTCACATGACAAGGGGAGCACACATACGGGAGATATAGGGATAGGTAGAAAACCCAAAACATGAAAGCATTTGATGTCCCCACTCCAGAGGAACTAATACAGAAACCTTAAAGCGACAGAGGTTAACAGGAGAAGGGGATCAGGAACCAGTATAAAGATCAGTTAGAGATGAGTCAACTTGGGTTGTAACACATGTGCACATGAAAGCAATGTTAGGAATCTTTCTGTATAGCTACCCTTAACTCAACTAGCAAAAATGCTTTGTCTTCATTATTATGCTTGTGTCTTCTCTTCAACAAAATTAGAGATAAGGGCAGAACAGGTTCTGCCTGGAAGTGAGAGGGGGAGGAGGGAGAGGGTGTGGGAGGGGCCAGGAGGGAGAAATGATCCAAACAATGTATGCACATGTGAATAAATGGATAATTAAAAAAAAAGATAGGGGCACAGCTCTTCCAAAGCTTCCAGACCAGATCCCTGAGCTAGCCATTTACACATTCTGCTGTTATAGACTCCTGAGAGGGAGAGTCAATTAGCATCCCATTGAAGCCCCTTCCTAGGGCTTCACATACCTCTCTGGCCAGAAGCCCTATGTCAAGTGGAAATACCTTGCACTGCAATTTTAACTTCTTGTCTTTTTTTCACTGCAGACATAACAGGAGATGAGCCTTCCCTGTATAGCAGCTTTCATTTCATTAGTTGGATGCAGCCTTTATTGTTGATGCTTAGTTTTTTGCTTCTCTTGAGGACCATGCAACCAGCAAATTCATTTTTTAATGTAAACTGACTTGTTTGGTATCATGTGAAATGGCAAGTCTTGGCATCTTACCAAGATGCCAAGATGTTTTCTGTCTATCCAGTTTTTCAAAATGTACCATTATTTCTATGTCACTATTCTGGATTCTGTTTTCTTTTTTCCCCTTGAGAGAAGCCAAAATGGACCCAAAGAAATTTCTTAAATGTGTGAATCCCTGAGATTATGTGCTGTAAGCAACTTTGGTGAGTGAGATCTAATTGGAAAATGGAATTAGCAAGACCTTGCTGAGCTTAGAGCACAAGAAGCCGGGCAAACTCACACAAGCTGGGTTGGTGTCATCAATAAGATCAATGGGACACCAGCATTCATTCAATAAAATCAGCAATACTCAGAAAATGAGAGACTGAATGTGAGCTACAAAGATAAGAGAATAGGCAGGACAATTAATGTTAAATTAGCAAAGGGGCTGTGAGAATCAAACAAGAAATAGAGGAATTAAAACTAAAGGAAAATCAGTCTAACTTAACAATATCCACAAGTCTTTACAGTCACTGGGTGAAATAAATTGTCCTTTTTAAGTTCTTAAAAAAATCTTCTTTTAGTTGGTGGTGGCTAAGTCTCTGTATAATTGAAGAAGAATGTATACTGTTAGTACTTTCTGGTCCTCAATTTCTCATCTTTAAAACAAAGATTTTTCCAGGGTTTTTAAGGTTCACATCAAATTCTATCATGCTAGTTCATGCATCTGATTTAGAATTCAGACCTAACTTGTATTCACTATGAAAGGGGACACATATAGGTCCTAAGTCATGAGTCATAGCTAAAAGTCTCTAGTGTGGAAAGTGGGAAAAAAATCCTATTTCTTCTTAATCACCTGATGTCTGGAGAGAAATATACCATTCCTCGAGACAATGAAGGAGCAGAAACATAGGAAGCATGGACAACTTTTCTGGTTCTTGAGTAACTGGGTACATTTTTCTATCAGCAAGGCTCCAACACAAGAAATGCTTAGAATCTATTAGTGAGAAATTGAAAGGGTAACTGGCAACAACACAACAATATTTATTAAATTTCCTTCTAAAAAGAGTTCTTTTAATCATGGAGCTTGAATGCTTTCTATACCTTTTAGTTTTTCAGCAACAATGCTGCATTCGTGATCTGAGTAGTGAACCAATGGGGGTGGGGACGGTGGACGCAGTCTTTCTTCTTCCATCCGTCTACGGTGGCGCTCCTCTCTTGCTAGCATGCGCTGTTTACACTCCCACTCATACAGGTCATCCCGAGCCTGTGCAAAATCAACATGGAGCCTGCCTGTGTCCTTCTTGTCAGTACTAGAGCCTAGGCGAATTCGATAACCTAAATTTGAGAGGGAGAGAGAAAGACAGAGAACAGCAGCCAACTGAGTGAGCAACTACAAGTACTTTTCCAAGTTTGGTGTTTCAGATATGGTTGAGTAGTTATCTCCAAGTGACCACATAATCCCAAATTTCGTTCTCATGGTAGCAAGACACATAATTTGGGATATATAAAATGTTGGTAGTTGGGCACCTGTGGCTCACACCTGCAATCCTAGCTACGCTGGAGGCAGAGATCAGGAGGATTGTAGTTCAAAGCCAGCCTGGGCAAATATTGGCAAGATCCTATCTCAAAAAAAATCATCACAAAAGGGCTGGTGGAGTGGCTCAGGGAGTAGGGCTTGAGTTCAAATCCCCAGTACCTCAAAAAAATGTTGGTGTGATTGTAATATTGGTATAGGAGTAGAATTTAGCAAACCAGCATTCAACTTTCTACCTCCAGTTTTTGTGCCAAGTATATACTGCCCAAGTCAAGTCTCTGAACAAACATGAAAAAAATTGTTAGGTATATTTTAAGGTTAAGGAACTGAGCTAGATGCATATATACACATTAATCTAATTTCACTGTTAGCACAAGTTTGCAGGGTAAACATTTTACCAAAGAGAAAACTGATCACCGGCAAGGTTAGAGAGGTTAAGCAGCTTTCCCTGGGCCAAAAAAGGAGTTAGAATTGAATCCAGTTAGTAGACTCCAAATCTATTGTGCTTTCCTGTATTCTCTCGAATCATACCCCAAACAGATTTTTGCTCCTGGCTAAGACAGGGGTTAGATTTGCCTTCCTCCTTTAAAATCTAAAAATAAGAACAAAATATATGAAACAATGGTTTTTAAGACACTGAACATCAGACAATGAATCAGACAATTACTGAGAGACAAGAACCAAATGAAGTGATCCCTATGATTGCTCTCAGTTATTTGGAAGGGGTTTCCAGGTCTTAGTATTGAGAGGTTGTCTCTGTCAGGGCATGGTTGTCTTCCCAAGATGAAAAGATTGAACTTAGAGCCTAAGGTGACTATGATAAACAGAGTTCATAAAAGTGTACCAGAAAGAAGAAATCTCCACAAAGAAAGAACTTCAGAGATCTGCAGAGGGTCCTCCATGATTATTTAGCTGAGTATTGATGTCTATATAAGTGAAAACCACCCACATATTAAAGGCAACAATCTCTGGAGTTCACACAAAGCTAGAAATAACTCTTTCCCCCACCAACTAGAGAAGAAAAATGTCATACTTCATAGAGTATTGGGTAATCAGAGGTTTTTCCTTAATAGAGGAGAAAAGTTAGTGCTGACTTGTTTTGTTCCTGCTGGACAATACTTAAAAAATCAATACTCAAAAGGACTAAAATGCTATCAAGTTACTAAACTTCATCTCAGAACAAAGCTCAAGAATATGTATAGGAATTTTAAAAACCTGTCTCTAAATAAGGTGAAATTCAGAATATTTGGTATGCAATAAAAACCTACCTGGTATGCACAGAAAAATAAAATATGACCCATAATTAAGACTTAAAAACTCAGAAGTGATACATATGATGTAATTAATAGATAACAACATAAAAACAACAATTAAAGTTAGGTTTAATATGCTTAAGTGGCTAGAGAAAATACTGAACACAGTAAGTAGAAATATAAAACTTACAAAAAAGAGCCAAAGTCAAACTAAAGATTGAGACTACAATGTCTAAGGTGAAACAAAAATTATTGGATAGTACTAATGGCAACTTAGACATTGCAAGGGAAAAATAATGAACTTTAAGAAAGAGCAATAGAAACTATCCAAAATGAAATAGAGAAAAAAAAGATTGAAAAAAAAAATAACCCGAGAACCAGTGAACTGTGAGACATGAAGAGGCCTAATAGATGCTTAAGTGGAGCTATGAAAGAGAGGGGAGAAGGGAAGGAGCAGAAAAAACTTCAATAAAGGGAGGAAACAAATTCAAAATTTGTTGAAATCCTTCAGATCCAAATAGATGCTTAAGTGGAGCTATGAAAGAGAGGGGAGAAGGGAAGGAACAGAAAAAACTTCAATAAAAGGAGGAAACAAATTCAAAATTTGTTGAAATCCCTCAGATCCAAGAAGTTCAATGAACATCAAGGACAAGAAACATGAAGGAAACTACACCAAAGAACATCGTAACTGAACTTCTCAATACTACCAATAAAGAATATCTTAAAAGCAGCCATACATAAAAGGCATATTATGTATAGAGAAGAAAAGGTAAGAACAATATCATATTTATTGTTGGGAACAATGTAAGTAATTAGACAGTGGAATAATATCTGAGATAGGAAAAGAAAACAACCCCATCAACCTAGACATGCATACCCAGAAGAAATATCTTTGGAAAATAATTGTGAAGCCAGGCACTGGTGGTTCACATCTGTAATCCTAGCTACTTGGGAGGCTGAGATCAGGAGGATCCTGGTTTGATGCCAGTCCCCAAAATAACCCCGTCTCCAAAATAACCAGAGCAAAATAGACTGGAGTTGTGGCTTAAGCAGTAGAGCATCTGCTTGGCAAGCATGAAACCCCAAGTTCAAATTCCAGTCCTACAAAAAAATTGTGAAGTAAAAGATATTTTTTGAAACAAGGTCTTGTTATATAGCCCAGTTTGGCTTCAAACTCTCCTGTTTGGAGTCCTGTCCTAGCCTCCCAAGTGCTGGGATTAATTCTCTTTGAAACATACAAATGCTAAAAGAGTTCATCAGGAGCAGATATGCACTATGAAAAATATCTAAGGGAATTTAAGCACAGGGAAAAGACACCAAATAGAAATCTAGATCTATACAAAGGAAGGAAGAGCATACATAATGTATGATGCCACTTGTATAACATTCTAGAAAAATGCTCACTAATCTGACAGAGAACAGATAAGCAGTTGCTTGAAAAGGAAGTAGGGAGGGGAAAGAAGAAGGGATTAAAAAAGGGCATGAAGGAAGCTTTTGGAGGTGGTAGGCATATTCATTATTTTGATTGTTGGAGATGGTTTCACAGCTGTATGCATATATCAAATATTATATACTTGTATTTTTGAGCTATGTGAAGCTCATTGTATGTCAAATATTATACTTCCATATAGCTATTGTAAAGGATAATGTTGAGTAACACTAAAAGTACCATGTATTCTTTCTAGAAAGAGGAATAATAAACATATTTCATAAGCAAACTTTTCTAGGACCTTTTGAAGTCTGCAATGTATTTGTACTCTCATTCATTTTATTTGAAATGGGGCTACAAATCATTACCCTGCGTGTTCAAGATTGTGGAGAGGATCAAAAAAGAGGATCATATGAAAGCTTTATGTAAACCACACTAAAGATGCTAAGATGTTATGATACTATGGGTAGGTGCACTATGTATAGTGTCAACTCTCAAAGGCACTTTAATTCCAACAACAACAAAAAGATTAATTCTACATTTTCTAGCACCAAAATAAGAGATTTTTGTTTGCTTATTTTAAACACTTTCTTTTATAAAGTAAGAAAAAAAATCCCATCCAGGAGATTCTAGCACTTGTGATCTTCCAGGAGGTGGTTTAAATTAAAAGACAAAATTTAGTGATTTTCACAGCACTGATTGCCATCCCCTTTCCTTTGCAGCCCTGGGAATTTTTCTAGGAGGTGGTTGTTAATAGAAAGTGATTTCAGTTATGTTTACATGGGTGCCTCCTGAGCAGTGCATTTGCATATTCTTTTAGGTATAACTATTTAGGGCTTTTTGAGACCTTTACATTCTTATTACAATAGTCTGTTGTGGAAGCTCTGCTATTGTTGCTAAGTGCTATCTAATGTTCAGTAGTTAGATTCTCCAGCATTTAGAAACTGTAATGAGTATGCTTCATCCACCTCCCCCTCTCCTTCCCCACGTCACTAGCCTACTTTTTCAAATCCCTGTTACTTTTTTCCTGGCCTACTGCAACAAGTTTCTAACTGACCTCTTCTGTAATCCATTTTTACACAGAACTGTCAGATTTATCTTTCAGAAACAATCACTTTCTTTTTTCAGAAATTTCTTCAACAATTCCCTATTACCTGAGGAGTAAAGACCCAACTGCTAAACCTTTCAAATTGTGTGAACAACTGATGTTTTCCCTTCCCCTTTCATGTTTACTTAGCACACAAACCACCACTCACTGCTTCTTGATTGTTTGCCAAAGCTTTTCACCTTTGTACCTGTTTCTTTGCCCAAATGTCCATAGCAAATGCTTTCTCTTTGTCAAAGATCTAGTGCAAAAGCTATCTTTCTGGATCTCTCTCTCTCCCGCTCTCCCTCTTTCTCTCTGTCCCCCTTTTTCTACTTCCCCTCCCCCCATGGCACTCATAGCTGTAAATTATTGTTCTTATTAGCAGTGAGTGTGTCTTATCAGTGTCTTGAGTAATGCTTGTTGCTGAACAAATACTTCTTTAATAAATGAATAACTTTGACACATTTCAATGTCCTATATTCATACATGCATAGAAAGTACCTCAATCATATTCACACTCGTTTATCCTCTTCATTTACCCTCACCTCCTGCTATTACCCTCTTTAACATGTCCTATTTTATATTTCTGTCCTTCATTATTTTAGTGTCTGTTCATTGTTCAGTGGGGTATTGTCTTGGTATTTTCTCTGTAAGCATATTGTACTTTAATCATTCAAACCCCCTATATTACTCTTCCTTATCCTTTTCAAGAAGGGGAGTGGGAGAAGAGGGAGAATAAGGAAGGTAATAAACCAAACTGGGGATGCAATATATGTATATATGGAAATGTCACAATGAAACACCCTGTATAACTATCATTTGCTAATAAAAATGTTTAAAAATAAAATAAAATGAAAAAGTCAGTATCTTTAAAATGAAAGTATTAAACATAAAAAATGAATGCATGGTTCAATACTAACCCTAAGTTCATTAAAGGGAAGAACTGGGTTTTATCAATTTTCTACACTGTACAGGATGTAGCAACATAGTTTACACAAAGGAGATGTTCAATATGCACCTATCATGTGAATGAAGGTGCCACCATCATAAAATGTCTAGCACTTGAACTCAATTATTCTAAACAATTACTCT